GATGAGAGGACATGGCCTTAAGCTGCACCAGGGGAGGTTCAGGTTGGACATCAAGAAGAATTTTTTCATGGAAAGGATGTTCAGGCATTGGAAGGGGCTGCCCAGGGAGGTTTGGAGTCCCCATCCCTGGAGGTGTTCAGGGAATGACTGGAAGTGGCTCTCAGTGCTCTGGGCTGGGTGACAAGGTGGGGGTCGGTCACAGGTCGGACTCGATGATCTTGGAGTCTTTTCCAACCTAAATCATTCTTTGATTGAGTGTTAACAGTGTTGGTTTTCCACCAAAGTGTCTTGGAGCATTTAGCTTTCAAATGTTAACTTTTCCACGCAACCCAGGAAAATATAAGAGAGATTCATCCCCTGGCTGCTGTCAGACATCACAGAAAATCAGCACTAAAGGAGCCAAGCTCGCTGGAGGAACACACCATTTTTAGAGACATCCCTTCTGAATCCTCCTAATCTTGTGCAGAATCCTTTTGTCTTATCCCATCAAAGTGTGACAAAGCCTTTTCATGGGGGTTGTTTTACAGATGCTCGCAGCTCAACGCGATTTTCCTCATTCATACGCTGTTGCTGCTGTTAATTGTGTCTGTTCCAGGAACACCTCCGGGCCCTGCTGGGATGAATGATGGGCATAGCTGTCATTGAAGGTTTCCAAGGGAAAGGGGAGGGATGCAGAAGAAGCTGGAGATGCCACCAGGCTGAGGAATGGCCCCTCACCATCTCTCCTGGGGCTGGTCCTGGTTGGTGCTGAGGTGTGGGGTGTGAAGGTGTTCTCTGTGCTTCAGGGAGAAGATGATAAATGTATTTGGCAAAATTGTTCTTCGAAGCTGGGGGGAGTTTGCAGGGCTCATCCACAGGGTTTGGGACCAATGGAAGCTCCCTCCTTGTCTGACTCTGCCCCAAAATCTTACCAGTCTGTTATGTTTTAAAAGTAAAGGCACAAAAGCTTGGTGCTGTGCTGTTTCTGCTGGCTCTGACATTGTCAGGCAGTCCTTGGGCTGTGACTGGGATCTGGGCATCCAGGATTTTCTGGTGTCTGGGAAAATATTCAAAATTAATTTCTCCCTTCCCTCCTCCTTGGGAAAAAAAAAAAAAAAGGAAGAAAATAGATGATTGAAGCTTGCTAAGGGTTTTCTGTTACACCATTAACTATGCACAGCTTGTCTCCCAACAGCCCCTAAGGCCATGGTCCTTTATCCTCCCATCCATCTTGTGCCTGTCATGTCCCAGTTAAAGTCAGGATGTTTCTGTGGAGGAGGAGTGGAGACCCCTTGCAGATGTGACTGCGCATTGTGGGCTGTCTCAGACCACAGATATTTTAATGCTTTGTTTCCCTTGTGATGAGGCCTTGAGCTCCTGCAGTCTGTGCTGACCAGTGCAAGGTGAGGGCACTGCCCGAGATCCCAGGTGGAGCCTGTCCCTTCAGCGTGTCCTTCCCTGGCCATCAGACCTGTAAAATCCCACTGTGGGGAATGTTTGGTTGCCACTGGTGGCACAAATCACTTGGCGAGTGATGGGATTTCCCACATCCTGTGGCTGTTTCCCTGGGAATGGAGGGGGCCTCTGGGGAGTGGAAGTGAAACCAGACAGTTTTTGCAGGCATATTTTGGGGTGTAGGCTGTTCCCTGGTCCAGTACTTTGCTTTTATTTACAACCCTTTGCCCCATATCTGCGGGACACAGGCTGCATCCACAGGGTGGCTGCATCCTGGTCCAGCCCCAGGCTGTCTCCCTGCGGGGACAGCTGCTCCCAAGGCATAATATGGAGCCTGAGGGATGAGGGGGATCAGATGCAACTCCCCCTTGCCTTGGGGGGGGTCCCAAACCTGGTGTGTAGCCCCCACTCCTGGAGGGTCAGGTCATTCCATGCTGGATCCCAGCCTTGCACGTGGTCTGTCCCTGCCAAGCAACAATCACTGCTGGCTCCTTCTGCCAGGGTCTCGTGTGCTGGTGATGGTTTTAATCATGAGGAGACATGTATAAAGTTGATGGATGATGTGCTGGTGATTCACACTACCTACACGGTCTCTAAAGTAAGTGTATTCATAAAAATCTAATAGAAGCCAAAGCTGGCAGGCGACTTTGGTTACTGGAAGTCTGGTTTTGTCCCAACACATCCTTCTATTGATTCTTTTTCAAGTGCTAAAAATTGGCTTGGATGATTGGAGTTAATCATCATCTGAAATGTTGTTGAGCAATTGATGTTGCTGCATCAAAATGTTTCCCTCTTCCCTTGCCCCTCCTTCCCCCCACTTCCCCCAAAAAAGAAATTCCTGGCTGATACTCAAAATCCAGTTCATTCCTTGCTGTGCAAGTATTAAACTATGGGTCTTTTCTTTCAGATTTCTGGATTTTTATGGGCACAATCGGTCTGTTAACAGGATTTTTTTTTTTTTGTGGTTTCAATGCATTTATATCATTGACCTTTGCTTTAAAAAGTGTCTGACAGTCTTTGCTGGGCTGGAGCTATAAAAAGGAGTGTTGTAAGGGGGCTTTATTCTATGGAAGCAATGACCACAGGCAAAGCTTTATATTTGCTGAGTGATTTAATTCTTGCACATGCAGGACTTGGCTCTTTGCCATGTGTAACATGTTGAAAAAAGGTCTGCTTGAGAGGCATTCAAACCAAACTTTCCAAAACAGTCTTTTTTACTTCTTCAGAAAAAAATAAAACAGCTTTCTTTCCTGTTATTTTTAAGCTAACAAGTAAAACCAAGGGACTCTGCCCCAAAATGCTGCATTGAGCTCTAGCAGGGTCATTGGGGGAATAAACCTCCTTTAATGAAATGAAGTGGGAGCCTGGGTGGAAGGGGGCCAGCCAGGAGGAAGAGGAGGGTGTCATTAAGATAAAGGCCTCATCAGGGACAGGAGGGAGTAAAACTGAGCTCCCTGGACTGCAGGAGGAAGCCAGGGAGGGTGAAGATGATCCAGCTCTAATGCCTGGTCCTCCAAAACCCTGCTCAGGGGGTGCATCTCCAAAAGATTCATTTTCAGGCTAAATATCATATTTTCCTTCCCGTATCAGTTACTTTTCCCTGCTTGGCTCTGCCTGTGCCCTGCCCTCTTACAGGAATATCTGTGCAGTAGCAGTCAGAAGCAAATAAAAACAAGCTGCTTTTTGTTTGCGCTTATTTTAAACATTGTGACAACGTTTGGATTAATGTCGGGTCTTGTGAAAAGCTCTTTAAAAGTCAAACATACTGAGCTGCTTACCAGCATCCCTTTGAATCCTGCATCTGCCTGCTGCCCTTCCAGATAATGGTCTGGAGAGCAAGGAGACATCATATTTCTTTTTCCTTCTTGTAGTCAGGCCATTACATATGCCTGAGGTTTCAGATTCTGGAACTATTTAATTGTGTAGCCACTTGGGCTGAGGTCCCTGTTTTGGTGTTTCCTCTTCCTTTGGCAAGCAAACAAACAACAGAAATATTAAATTATGCTGATTTCTAACAGAAGCAACGTCTTCTCCCAAACATTGCAATCTACTGCATTTTAATTAAAAACAACACACCAACAGTGCATCAAGCCTCTATTAGTTTTAATCAGCAGATTCTTCTGGAGGCTTTTAGAGGTGAATTGTGCCTTGCTCACTATTCAGCTGGAGAAGAGGGGGAACAATGGATGAGCTTTGTGCAGGCACAGCGAGCCCTGAAATACTGAATTTAAAAGGTATTTCAAAGGTGTTTAAAAAGTGTTTGAATAGGGTGGAGGTTATAAAGGGGAGAGCCAAAAGGAGGGAGATCCAGCAGCGTGCAGGGATGTCTGATGGTGGTACCTGCCTCGTGTGCAGATAAATCCATCACCTGGAGGAGACCAAATCCTGTTTATTTGGGTTGCTGTCCTGGTTCCCTGTGCAGCAGGCAGGGCTGAGGTTCTCTGCAGGTCACCCCAGGGCTCTCAGACACGTGGAGAGGCACTCAGTGCTCCCTGCCCCTCGGCTCAGGCGTTGGCTGTTCCATGTGTGCAGGTGGGATGAGCTGCTGCCGTGCCCAGGGCTTGATGGGAAAGAGCATTTCATCCATTCCTGTGATTCCTGGGAGAGCTGAGCTAAATGCTGCCAGGGTAGAAAGTCGCTTATGAAAGCAAAGGGTTTGAAGCCTCTGTGTGGAGAGAGTGGCTTGGAAAGCCAAAGGAATGAGGGTAACCTTTGCTTTTTATAGCTCCTGGTATTTGTTTGCTCGTGGCAGCCACCAGCAATGCCCTCTGTGTTCGCTGTGCAGGGCTCCACCCTCCTGCAGTCACACTGTGCCCAAGCAAACAGCTTCTGTCTGGGGTCAGCTGGAGTGGAAATCTTCTCTGGGGAAGGGAAAACCCTCTCTTGTACTTCCCTGACCCTGCTGGGTAGCAGAAGTCAACTGGAGAGAGGCTTTGCCCTCTCTCCATCCATAGAGGTGTTGTGTGGAAGGGATAAATGGGGTCATGGAGGAGAAGTGGAGGGAGTGCAGGTGGCTGACACCTGCCCTGGCTGGAACCCGAGCGAGACACCTGAGATCCTGTGCCAGCTCCCCGGGGGAGCTGGTGGAGCAGGTGGTGAGCAGGGAATTGTCTGTTCACCCGAAAATTTGGGAGGTGCTGCTCGGCACATGTGTGAAGGGGGAGGTCATTATCCATGTGGGTGCTCTGCTGTTGTTCAGGCACAGTGACCACGGGTGTCCCAGAGTCCTGCAGGACCTGGGGCCAGTGCTCGGTGGAGCAGGGACTGGAGAGGGGCTGTTGGAGCATCTGCTGGGGCTGATGCAACAGGATGGCTTTGGGCCAGAGCTTTCTAGAATGAGCCGTCATTTCTGGTGCCCAGCTGGAAATTGCTGTTGGGGGCAACTGGCTTGGCAGAGACTCGGCCTTTCTTGAACTTTTTGGAATCGGTTGCTCGTGGGTTTCATGTGCTGCTTCCAGCAGAGAGGAGGAAAAAGAGGGAAGGAAGTCCAAAACCCTGCCCGCGGGTTTATACCTTGGATGACTTCCAGTACAGCCAGGTTTCAGTGTTTGTTTTTCCCTCTGCAGCTCTGGGAAGTGCCAGTGTAAGGTGGGTGTCACGGCCCTGAAGTGTGACCAGTGCAGTGACGGATATTACAGGTTTAATGAAACCACGTGTGAGCCCTGTCAGTGCAACAACCACTCCCAGACCTGCAACAGCTCAACAGGTGAGTGCAGGGGCTGCAGACTTCACCTGTCTCCTTCTCTCTGGTTTTCGCTGTTTGCTTTCACACACCTCTGCTCTTATCCCCTTCATCTACATCTTTATACCTCAAGTACCCAAAATTTTTACCTTAAAACTGAAATGGAAATGCAGGGCGAGGATGGAGCTGGTCCTCTTTGAAGGAAGGCAATAAAGGCTGTGTGTTTTACCCCAGGCTGCAATGCAGAGCCTTAATTCAGCAGTCTGTATCGAAAATCAGGGCTCTATTGTTCTCTACACTTACATAAACACAAAACATGGGCTTTTTAAGAGCTTTTGTTCAACTGCTGTTTACCTGGAAACATATACTGTACTGGCACTGACGTAAGGGGACATTTTGCTACAGATAGCAGGGTTAGAGCTGGAAAAAACTGGCAACACCTAATTAATATTGCCCACTTTTTATAAATTGACCGTGTTCATTTTCCTAGATCGTTTCTTTGACTGTCTCTCACTCAGATGTTGATGGAGTGCAAAAGTCCAGGCACCTGTGCTTGAACAGCTTATGGGAGGGCAGGGGAGAGCCTAATCACTTTCCCATCTCCACTGGAAGGACAGATCCCAGGGGAGAGATGTTATGTGATTGCCTGTGCAACCCTCACTTCAGCCACAGGACTCACTTAAAAATCCAAATTCTCATCCAGACTTCCAGCTGAAATGTGGTTCTGTGATATTTATCCAGGAGCTTAGAAAGGGGTAATAATTCAAAGTAATGTTGCAGGGTTTTTGTGTAGCTGGCAGAGAGGCAGAGCCCATCAAATGAGGTGTTTCTGGGCAGTTTCTGCCCCTGTGTTCCCTCCTGGGCTGTGTGTTGGCAGCAGAGGAACAGGCAGCTGCAGTGCTGGTGCCCCGATCCCGCTCGGCGTTAGCGGCGGGTGCCGGATCTGTGCTCCCTGAGGATGAATTACTGCATTTCCCTGAGGATGAATTACTGCATTCTCTCCTCTACTGAGCTCAATGTGCTTATGTCCTACCAGCATTGATGGATATAAGACTGTCCCTAAAGCTGTGCACACATCAGCTGTGTTACTGATTTGGAGCTGGGTGTGTGGGTTTTGTGAAGGAGGAGGATAATCTGCTCTTCCTTTTTTTTTCCCCATCAATGTTCTCCTTGCTTTCGATTTATGAAACAAAACCCAAAGAAAACCCAGCACAGACCTTGTCCCTGGGATGGGGCTGTTCAGGCAGCCTTTCTGCTGCTGCTGCCCATCGCTGCCCATGGCATTGCAATGAAAACCCCTCATTTTGGTTAATGACCTTTTGTTGATTTGACAAAAATTTTTTTTTTTTTAATTTTCCTCCATCTGGGAGTGGGGGAACCCAACAAAACCAGAACAGAGAACAGTCAATTAAAGATTAGATTTGATACTTAATAAATAAGGAGAACACTCAGCTTGCTTTAGAGACTGCACTCTGTGTGACCTCCCCAGCTTTGCATCAACTCTGTGTAGTCTTTGTCACATTTTCAAGGGTTTTTTTTCCCATTAATGCTGTACTTTGGGCTCCCTCTGCCGGCTCTGCAGCTGGTTCCTGCTTGGCATTGCTCTGTCTGGGAGGAATATTCAAAATTACTGGGCATAAATAAATAAACTGGGCAGCGAGAGCTCCCCAGGCGACAGCATTTCCTCCGACACGACCCTTGCACCCCGTGGTGTGTCTGTGCAATCAGGTGGGTTGGTTCTTCCCAGCTGGGGTACTGTGAGGTCTGATCCTTCCTGAGGGCATTATTGGGATGAGAAGTGCTATTAATTATTAAGGCTTTCCACAGCGATACCTGATGGCAGGCCTGTGCGTGCTCTGCAGGGCTGAGCAATGTGCTGACTCATGGAAACGCAGCCATTTTGCAGGGCTGGGGGGGATAAATGTGAGTGATTTCTGCCCATGGGAAAGGCACTGGTCCTGAAATGACCAGGACTGTACAGACAACGCAGGTGTGATTCCAGATTTATGCCCCCATTGATGCCTGTGGAGGACAGTCCAAGGCACCTGTGCTGTGGCCGGGAAAATGAACTTCCCATGAGTTGCCCTGTCCTAGGAATCCATCCTGCTGGAACAGCTGATCATGGTTTGCTGCTGGAGAAACCAAGCCCAGCAGATAATTTTCCCCTCTAACCCTGACATCTCTCCCACAAAAACCACTGGCTCGTGTCTGACAGGCTGCTGAGGGAAGAGCAAACAGTGGGTGGGAGCTGACGCCGAGCAAGTGTCTGTAGTCATCGGGGTGCTGTCAGCGCCCTGCTGGGGGTGAATCAGCTGCTTCCTGGGTTTGCTTCCTGCCCTCAGCACAGGGATTGGCTGCAAGGACACTCCAGGCTGGCTCAGGGATGCTCAGCTGCAGAGTCATTGCTGTGGAAAGAGAGGAGCAGGAGCCATGCAGTGTGTTGGGCTTGTGAGGGAGACAAACTGTTCCGATATTAATAAGAAAATCTATTGTGGGCTTTTTAACAGCCAGCATTAACCTAAATCAGGATTTTTTCCTGTGGTTGGTGTTGATATGAGACTTTTCCATCCTCCAGCAGTGCTGCTGGATCAGCTCAGTGAATCTGGGCTCTCACATGAGGTGAATATGCTGTTCTGTGCCACCCTGCTTTACAGAAGGGGGCTGTTGCCTTTGCAGAGTGTGGTACTGAGATTTAATCACACAAGCTTCCCTCAGCTCCCTGCCACCTCACAGAGGAGCTGGCTGAATTACAGCATGTTCCTGGTGATGGATGGGCTTTGGATAGAGGCTGTGCTTTCGTAACTAGGGAGATTTTTCTTCTCTGGCCACAGTGGTATCAAAATGCAATTTGGAGGCCATTAGGACACAGCCTCTGCTGAGACACGGCACGTCAACTTTCTGATTCAGGGGCTTCCCCAGGAAGGGGAGGTGGCTCATGTGAGCCCCCAGTTCTCCTCTGTTTCTCTGGGAAGGTCAGTGACTCGCTGCTGCCTTCTCCTGTGTTGGGGATGGAGAAGCTGGAGCCACTCTGGTGGGATGGAGCAGCCTGTCCCCAAAGCAGGATGGTGGCACACCCTTACCCCTCACCACCAGCTCTAGGGTGTAGGAAGAGGCTGCGCACAAAAAAACCTGAAGACATAAACCTGAGGGACCCCTTGTGGGGGTGGGAGACTTGAAGCTTCAAAATTCCATCTCAGTGGTACAAAGGCAAACTGAAATTCCTTTCCTTGAGGAGAGTTTAACATTGGTAGGCCCTGTTTACCTGCAGTGACCTTTCAGTGATGAGCTGTGGGGCCTCTCTTCTGGGGCCACCTGCTTTTTCACATGATCTGTGTGTGTGGAGCGAGGGGATGAGCATCAGAAGGTCATAAGAGGCCAGGATCATGTTTTGGCCAGAGGGCATCCAAACCCACCTGTGAGCTCCGATAATTGAGAGCGCTCCACACGGATTCTTGCTCCAAATGTTCTGCTCCAGTTCCTGCTGCTGAACCATTGCCTGTGCTCCTCTCCCTTCCCCAGGCACCTGCCTGAACTGCCAGGAGAACACCGAGGGGGACCACTGTGAGCTCTGCAAGGAGGGTTTCTACCGCAGTGGCCATCCTGCCCACGCCTGCCAGCGCTGCCCCTGCTCCACCGTGGCATCCACCGGCACCTGCCGCTTACGTGAGCCTTTTCTTTTGCTCTAATTCCTCACAATGAACGTTGCTCTCTTCTGTTAAATTGCCCCTCAGAGTGCATCAGCCCAGTGAGGTGTTTTACAGCCTGTGAATCTCCTGTTTGTGGGCACCTTGTGGAAGTAGCTCCTTCTGTGATGTGTCCCTGGTGCTTGTGCTGCCTCTTGTGAGAGCGGCTGTGCAGCGGAGGGAACGTAGGATCGTAAAATCACATCGGCTGGTTTAGGTTGGAAGGGATCTTAAAAGTCTGGGTCTAACTCCCAGTGTGTTGCTGCAGCCTGCTCTGAAGAACCTGCAAAATTTTGCAGAGAGAAACTGCTGAGCCTGTGGCAGCCAGGAGAGGTGCCCAGCGGTGCCATGTAGCCATCCATACCTCTGAACCTACTTCTGAACATCTCCATGGGACTCCCAAGTAGAGATTCCCCAATGTAACCGAGAGAAGTCATGGCTGTAATAATCATATGTATAATTTTTTTTGATACTTCCTTAATCAGTTTTGCAGTCAAGGCACTTCTGGCTTCTTATAGGCCAAAAAGTTCTTGCAGATGACAAGCATTCCCGATATAGTTCCAGCTGTTCTTTGAAATTGCCTGTTTGAGGCGGAAATATTCAGGAGTAATGATCTCTTTCCTTAGCAACGTGCTGAGAGTGCTCTGTGAGGCTGGTGCAAGGCATAAAGCTGCTTTTCCCCCTAGGAACAGAGAAAAACTGCTGCAGTTCAAAAATTGTGTTTCCAGCTCAAAAACTAGAGTTTGGTTAATACTTGGACGCTGCTGATGTTTGTCAGAGTGCCTTGTGAGAAAAATCCCCGTGCCTCTTGCAAGGGGCTGCGACACATCCCTGCTTTCCTTCCTGTGTCCCCCAGAGCCTGGCGAGACCGTGCCGAGGTGTGACCGGTGTAGAACGGGCTACACGGGCCTCAACTGCAACCAGTGTGACAAGGGCTACTACAACTCCGACAGCATCTGCGTGAGCTGCAAGTGCAACGGGAACGTGGACCCGGCGCGTTCCCCCAGCGTGTGCCGGCCCGACAGCGGGGAGTGCATCGGCTGCCTCTACCACACCGCCGGCTTCCACTGCGAGCGCTGCGAGGAGGGCTACACCAGGGACCCCGAGGGCAGCAACTGCACCAGGAAAGGTAAAACAGACCTCCTCGGGTCTGTCAAAGCCCCCTGTGCAGCTTGGAGAGGGAGTAGCGTTGGTTGTTCGCGTTGGTTTGGGTTTATCTGGCCTGTGGTGAAGGGAAGAAAGTTGGATGTTTGTAACGTGTTGGTGCCTGCTGGCCTTGAAGTGTGGTCTGATTCCAGTCTGTGGCAGGCACTGTTAGTGAACAAGCTGGAAAAGAAAACCCTATTTGCAGTGAATTTAAATGTAGGTTTTCAGACTTCCATTGCTTGGTGTCGTCATCATGGTTGGGCTTCGCGAACGAAGATTTGGGATGTCATAGTGCCCCGTGAACTGACTGTTCTTACTGACTGTTCTTACAGTCCTTACTGACTGTTCCATTCCATAGCACTGGCTGGTTCCCTGGGAAGGCTGTTCTGTGAAGTGTTATCACTCTTCACACCCTGCAAACAAGAGCTGCTTGGCCCAACTTTAGGTATTCTGTGTTTTTTTTCCTTTCTAAATGGGGAAGCCAAAGCTCAGAAAGGTGAGATCCAAACTTTCAGAGAGAGTCAACACCAGAATTTGCTGGTAGCAGTTCTGGGGGTCTCATCAGTCTCCAATCCACTGTTTGTAGCATCTCAGATGCTACACTCTGGTGCTTAAAGGGGCTGCTGCACAGCAGGAGAGCTTGGACTAAAATGAAAGAAAATGACTCTGAAGTTGCTCCATCAGTGTTTATCTGGAGGTTGGTCCTTACATTGGATCTTGAGCTCCATTCATGGAAATATTACTGGTGTGATATATTAGATGAGGGAACTCAGAGTGCAAGGAAGTGTCTGGGCATAAATTCGGCCTTATCACCAACAGAGATTCAATTCAGATCTTCCATCAGGAGCTAATGTGGTTTTTTAGTCCCGTGCTGCTCTCTGGACATGTAATCACAGAGTCCTTCCCTGCTCAGGGAGGTGATCAATACAGCAAAGTTGGAGGCTCATTAGCTGTAACAGTGCTGTCATGCAGCTGGAAACAGCACTTTTGCATCAGCTCATCCATTACCTCCCCCTGCACAGCTCTGGCTTTGTGCAAAGATCCACATGACCTTGCTCCATTAAAATCCATATATATGGCTTTGCTTGTGTACTTGTAGCTTTCACCATTCAGTTTTACTTAAATGGCATTGTTATAGGCAGTTCCTGATGTGGGGGAAGATTGTTGCCTTTCACAGGGACTGGGACATGCTCTTTGAGCTTTCCTCTTTCCCTGACATTTGTTTTTCCCCTTTCTTATTAAGCAGTTAAAAATGTGTGTGGTTTCTCTCCTGTTTCTTACACACAAATTGCCTAAAAATTGACATGCTGAGGTACTGAGCATTAACTAGTTTTAGGTTAAGATTTTCCTAAACCACGAGTGCATTGGAGTGGCCTGGTTCTGAGGGGCTTCTGGAGTGAAATCATCACCCAAGTTGTGTTTCAGTGGTGGCAGCTGAAGTGAGACAGGAGGTTCTGCACAGCTTGGGCAAAGCTAAACCCAGCCCTGGGTACCCACAGAGCCTTAAACCCGACCAAGATTCTGATGGTTTCAAGGCTGATGGAGAAAATATTCCAAGGACATGTGGGGTGACTAAAGTCAGTGTTTCCAGCCCCAGAGGGGATGGTGTTCCTGCTGCCATGGTGAGGCAGAGCAAGGACTCAGTGGTGCAGTGTGGCTCTGTGCCACCCGGGGGCTGGCGCATGGGCTCCCGCCGGAGCTCACTCCTTGCAGGAGGCAGCAGAAGCTTTGCCGAGCTGGCATCTCAATCAAGCAGCTGGATGTGATGCTCACGTCAAAGCTGCCAAAGCAGCCCATTGAGCGAACAGCTGCTGCTCTCAAGGAGCTGCTCTGGGACATCTGGAGAGCTGGCACGGCCCCGGGAGCGGAACAGGCAGCGCCGTGGCACGGCCCGGGAGCGACGCCGCGGGTGGAGCTCGGCACTGCCCGCCCTGTCACTGGGAGCTGCAGGAAATGTCTTCACCCAGGGCCTCCGTGCCAGCACTGAGCTGATGCTGACTCAAAAATAAAGCCCAGAAAAGTGCTGTTTCCTTGCTGGTGAATCAGCCATTGTCTCTGTTCTGTTTTTTTCCCTAATTATAGCTACTGGCGGGGCTTGCCAAGGATTGAGTGTTGATGAAGGAATTTGAGAAGGATGACTGAATTCCTCATGCCCTTTCCCCAAAGTCAAAGGTTTTCCAGGAACCTCTTGCTCATGTCATGTTGCTTCCTACTGCAGAATTCTGCCCATTATCCCATAGAGAAACACCTTCTGGCATTCAGCATCCTGAGTATCCTTATCAGCCCAAGGCAGGACCTGCAGATAATAGAGGAGCTGCTGCAGGGAGGGGACTCTGAGCAGGAGGCTCCATTAGGTGTATGATGCCCATTCCAGAGGCATTTCTTCATTGCATGAACTGGGAACGTGACAGCCCAAAGTTAACTCGTGGGAGTTCCCCTGAGGACCCGTGGCAGGAGATGTGCTGAGTATTTCCAGCTCCTGTTGCTGTTGGAGATGCAACTTAGTGCAAAATTAGTCCTTCGGAAGTGACTCTCCTCCTCAGTCATAATTAGTAGATGTTCAGGAGAGCTGGATCTGTACAGCACCATCAGCTGTAATTGCTGCAGCTGTACGTGGGTTTAAAATGAAGTTGCTTTTCCGAGAGCAGGAAGAGAGTGGGAAAGAGGGTGAAGAGAATCCTGTGGAGCAATAGGTGTAGAGAACATTCTGGCTGATTGAGGCTTCAGCTTCTGGAGGGTTCCTGCTGCCTAGACTTGAGAGTCTAAAATAGATCAGGTTATTCATGTGAGGAAGTGCTTTATTAGTTACTTTTGTGAGCTTAATACTCAGGATTTATCGTGCTCTCTGAGGCCTGTGGCTCAGCTGGTTTGATGCAGGCATAATGACTTTGTATCCCACTTATGAGATGTCCAGTGTTGACTTGTCACTGACTCCTAGATCTGAGAAGGGAATTATCCCATGGCTGCTGGAAGCAAGGCAGGCTCTTGGGTATTTAGTGCCAAGAAGAAGGCAGAGCTCGTGGCACACTCTGGTAGTTCTCATGTTCTTTCTCATCCATGCTCATGTGGCAGCAGCTGAAGCCAACACGGGATCCCAGGTGGCCCCTGCTGTGTTTGAAAGCTCCATAAGAACATCCACAGTCTTTTTTGTTGTTGTGATTTGGTCACCTTCTGCTTCTGGCTGTGCAGGCAGGGGGTTTCCATGAGGTTTGTGTACAACTTCCTCACTCAAAAGCAGAACTGAGGTTTTTTGCCCTTTTACTACCTAAAGCAGTGCAAACACTGAAACCTGTTGCTAAAGACTGTGATGGCAGAATACTTGTGGTTCATTTTTTCAGTTTTGATCTTCTTGTTTGTACAAGTAAGGCAGAAATAATATCATGAAAATAATCCTGCATCTGGTGCACTGGTTGTGAGGGGTTTAAGCTCCTGGTGTTGCTGTGTCCTCCCAGCCTGACTGTGCAGCCACACAGACACCAAGTGACACGTTGGTTCAGAGTCCAAATGTGCTGAGCTTGGTAAAGCCCCTTTTTTGTGGGCTGAACAGGAGCTGGGCTGGGTGACTTGCTCTCATCACAGGCTCATGTATGGAACACTGCATCCTGACTACTTCACTTATCCCTCCAGCACCAGATTTTTCATAAGGATGCTGCAGTCCATGGGCACTTAGCACACAGAGTTAGTTTAATAAACCACGAAACCCAACCCTGGCGAACCATTCTGTAAACTATTTAAAAAAAATACCAGCTTTAACAGTGTAGACTTAATTGCCATAATAACTGATATAAATGTCAAATCTCTTCCATTTGTGTTCAATTCCAGCTTAGGAGATTTTTATTGACCGTTTCTTATTTGTTTCGTAGAAGCCACTCTTGGCCCAGAAACAAGGGAGTTTACAACTTCTGCTCCAAACACCACCAAGACAACATCACTTTCCACGGCAGTGCTGAACAGTACGTTGTCCCCAACAACTCTACAGACGATATTTCCCGTCAGCTCCTCTGACAACAGCACCTCTGCCTTCGCAGACGTGTCGTGGACTCAGTTCAACATCATTATCCTGACGGTGATCATCATCGTGGTGGTCCTGCTGATGGGCTTCGTGGGCGCCGTCTACATGTACCGTGAGTATCAGAACCGAAAACTGAACGCTCCTTTTTGGACCATTGAGCTCAAGGAGGACAACATCAGCTTCAGCAGCTACCACGACAGCATTCCCAACGCTGACGTGTCGGGGCTGCTGGAGGACGACGGGAATGAAGTGGCGCCGAACGGACAGCTAACGCTGACGACTCCCATGCATAATTATAAAGCTTAGGAGCGATCCAGCTGTTCCAAAGTTGGCTTCAAAAAGCTACAGGGCTTGTGGAAGGGGTATCAGGATCCGTGCCAAGGCTCCACGCAGAGGAATTTGCTCTTCAGATACTCTAATGCTGGGCGTGCTGTAGCTTGCAGGTGAACAGAAGGCAGTGTAGTACATCCGAATTCCAGGTAATGTGGTGAAATGCATTCAGTGTCCTGTTCTCCATAAAGATCCATAGAATTCACTGTTGTTAAACGCTTGATTGTGCTGATCTGAAACATTTTGTTATGAAGAGGTGGTGGGGTGGACAGAGCAGAACCCCCGTGAGGAATCAGAAGCTACTTCGTTTCCAGCCAACCCAACACTTATGTCTGCATCCTTTAGTTTGAGAAGTAGCTCATGAAGTAACAGTGGAATTTCAGGAAACAAACCTTTTAGAAAGGCATCATTTTAGTTCCTGAGAGAAATTTGTTTGAAAGGAGGACAAAAAAAAGGGAAATAATTGTTCACTGTGCTACCAAAAGGCAAGTAGAGGAGTGAGTTGCACACTTGAAAAAAAGTCACCATTATCTGTTTCCACTAAGCAGGGAAACAGGATAAAAATCATGAGAACATTTAAATTAGGGAAGAGACTAAGCTTTTCCCTTTCTGAGTATTTATACAGGGTGATGATGCTATTAAAGCATAGCAATCCAGTTTTTTCTAGAAGGAGTTAATGAACTTGTATAGTTTCTGTGCAAGGGAAGACGACAAGACATCTCAGGGTTGCCGTGTAAAAATAAAAGCCAGGCTTAATACCCTACCCTGATAGAAATGGTGTGTTCTGTATATAAAATGTAATATATCTTCTTGGAATTGTATTTGTAATTATTTGTAAAAAAGACAACCAACCAACCAAAAAGAAACCCCAACAACGTAACCATGAACCCCTTCCCAACCTCCCCTACTCCCCAGGTCATGTTTTATCCTCTAGATTTTAATTGTACAGCGGTTAGTGGCGTTGTTAAAAAAAAAAACAAACAAAAACAAAACATGAGGATTGTTTAAAATACTGTAAATGAGATGGCAATATTGTTGGAGCTGGGCCTCTGGCAAACAACGACTGCTTAAAGCTTTTCTTCTAGTGTCATTGAATAACTTTCTTTTTTAGAGAAAATGTGAGTGCTCCCTACTTGCATCTGTCAAATTTTGCCATTCCTTTAAATATAGAGCGAATGCCAGTGTTGCCATGACTAGGGCCGAGTAGGTGTCCAAAAATCGGATGTACCAATCTGTTGTTTGCTTTTAAATCTCTATCCAAAATGCAAATTCACTGTCACGAACACACTGAGAGCCTGGTCTCCATGGCTGAGGTTCTCTGAAGCAGCTGCTCGTGGGGTGAAGGGATCCCATTGCCACCTCTGATGGGGCAGATGTGCCAGAGGGCTGAGTGCAGCCTCCTGGCCTCTCGAGGGGCAAAAGCAAAGGTCTCCTGGATTGGGGTGGAGACAGCTTTGAGATGAAGAGCTCACAGGGACAGATCTGCACTTCGAGGCTCAACAGGTAAAAGTGCACCATGGGTGGTTTAAGGAATTTAACATAGCACAAGGTAGGGGTGGGAATCAGCTGTCACACAAACCTACAGGGATCAGGTTTTAGAGAGTCCCCTGATTTCTGTGGGAGGCTGGTGGGCTGTTTGCAGAGGGAGAACACCAAACAGGCAGCACAGCATGGGGAGGTCACACCAGGGAGCTCCTCAGTTGGTCCCTGCAGCCTGTGAGCCTCAAGACGGGAGTCCCGGCCCTGGAAATCAAACCATTGCACTGAAATGGGGCATGGAACAAATACTTCACCTCACTCCTGCCCAGCCCCAGAGCTGCAGCTGTGTTGCTGTCCAGCAATTAATGCTGAGAATCAGTGAAGTACCTGCTAAAGGTCAGCAGGAGCTGGCGGATGCATCCTCAGAGCCAGGCAAAAGTGGGTGTTTCTCCAGGTGAAAAATGGT